GACACTACTTGAGGAAGCAAAGAAAATATGAGTAAAGAAAAAGATAATTAAATCTCACTGGCTTAAACAGTGAAGACTATAAAGGATATAAGTAACAAATTTACAATGTATTGCAGTACAAATGAGCAGTATCTTTAATATAAAAGTTGCATTTCCATGAAGAAGCTGTTTAGTAACAAATACAATTATACTACATCCAAAACATGTCAAAGTTCTATGAGTCACACGTTTACAATGTCCGAGTCCACAAGAAATGTCACGGAGAGTAAGCCATCTGAAGGCCACTTCTTAGTCTGAAGGTATCAGAGCCCTTTAGTCTGAACCTCCTACTTTGAAAAGCTGCTCAAACATCTGTCCCATTGGACTCCATTACACTTGTTGATTCCACATTTGGCTTTTTCAGGACAAACTATTATCTTCTCAAGAGAATCAAAATGTAGGACTGAGGTAAAGAGATATCAACCACAAGGAAATTTTTGTCGGCACAAACGATATACATGAATACTTTTCAAAACACTGGTATATCTGACATGTGGGTCAGCCACAGATTTATAATACTGGCAGAAATAACACTTGAACACTGACTCGGAGAACATAAACTACTGATATACATTAGCAAAAGCACACCATACTCCTTTCCATTGCTTCACTGCACTTTAAGGTTTCATGCTCACATCTCAGGTTACCCTAACTTTTCTGGCTTTTTTTTGGGGGGCGGGGGCTCTTCATTTCCTATCATCTAAAACGACATATCCCCTCCACTCCTGAAGGGCTTAGTTATAAAAAGTCACATGCTATATATTCACCTTCAAAGACAACTTTATCATCTGTACCAAAGGTGTTACAGCATGCAGACTGCAGAATTGCATGTACTCAGATCATGTAGCCATGCCATAGCTCTTTGCAAGGTTTGTCAGTAAAAAGTCAACATTGGGTTTTATTCACTGTCAAAGACCAACCTTGCTAAAGCTTTGTTTACTTTTTAATACAGTAGTTTATTTGAATTTCTTTATGCAGTTCGAGGGGCCAGGACCTGACCGGCAGCGATCATGAGCAGAAGGTCAGGTTGTAAGCACGAGCCCACACCGTGACAGGCCCCTCCAGCCACTCACTGCTCAAGACTTCACAGGGACAGAAAGGCTGGCATTACATGTATGTGGCTTCCATAGATCTCTAAGCAAGCTGGAATTTTTCAGATCTAACAACAGGTGAATAATAAAAGAAACTAATAAAGGTAGCAAGACATTTCAAACTTTCCTTTGAATCAACGAAAAGGCACCCTGCTCCATACCCATGTGTAAAGCACTGCACCCCCATTCTAAAACAGGTACTTTTATTTACTTCAACTAATTTTCATTTAAACAAAATACTATTCTCTACCTAAACAGCTGATACTCCAAGAGAGGAAAGCATGATTATTTTTAAGTCAAAATCATGTTCTTATGCACTTAACTTTGAGATTAAATATATTATCTACAGGAAAAATCCACAAAATCTTTTTGAGATGTTGATCTAATTTTGTTGTTGTTATATGATCTAATTTTAGATTTAAATTATTTTAGGTTGATTTTTTTTCCCCTTTTAATTGTATATTCAGTGAGTGTTCAAAATAAACCTACAGGTGTCAATTGTAAATAATTAAATTAGATGTGAACTCATCAGGTGTTTAATGGAAAGAAAAAAAAAATTCTTTTGCCAAGATATT